TGTAAGGATTATTCTTCCCCCATCCCTTCCCCTAATATCTTGTCTCCATAATTCATTCTTCTTCCCCAACTCCATTTATCTTGCCTCCATCAAGGTTTCCCCCCTACCACGTTCCCTAATCTTTTGTATCCTTAAAAAACCTTCCCTGCATTCCTCATTCGCACAAGTTTACACCATTGATTTGACTGACTGACCACTGAATTTCATTACCATTAAATGAAAAAATAACATATATGCACAAAGGGACGGAAGTCCTTGTCCTATGTCACACAGTGAAAATCACAACAGAATCCGGCGGAAGTTTGATCTCCGAAATGCTGATTTCTTACGACGATCAGAAGAAACTGAAGTAAGCTATCGGTATACAGCAATGTTATACTGGATCGCCTACGTGTCTCCAACTATTTCACTCACTGTGTCACAAAGCAGAGGACAAAATTGCTTTGGAAATATGAAGCTCCGCGTGGCGATCAGGTACATGTACATCGTTAAAGCAAGTTTTTAACTGGGTTAATAATGAAAATATTTATTGCATTGGAAAGCAATGAAACCGAACTAATAAAATAATTTGTTGTTTGTTAAACTTGTGACTCTTTTGCATTCTACTGCAGCATGGATGATGACGAGAAAGTGGAGTATTTGCCTTAAGATCCACTGTGTCCGAGTTGGTGGGCCGACTAATCGTATAATGATAATTACTACTCATTCAGTGTTAAAGAAGGAGAATCGGTGGCTGCCACAAGTCGATGTATGGCACACGGTGTATTGAAGGTCAACAGCCGTTTCCTGATTGCTTTATGATCGCTGGAGCAACTTTAGAGTAGGGTATACATTTATATGGCAACGCTAACTCAATGACCTAACCGTCATCTTACATTGCTATCAAAATCGTTTATAGAACTTTCCATGTCGTGCCCGGGGGCCGTGTGTTTGTGTATTCGCCGCTCCGTGATCCGGTTACTGTGATGGTAGAATATCAAATCATCACACAAAGCCATTCCTGCGACGTCCATATGTTCTGTCCATAGTCAACCATCACTGGCCACAGCAACAAGGACCCGTTTATTAATTGCACTGGTTACAGTGACAAGAACCCGTATGTTCTGTACACTGGTAACAGTGACAAGAACTTTATGTTCTGTACACTAATTAGACTGACAAGAACCCGTATGATCCGTACACTGGTAACAGTGACAAGAACCGTATGTTCTGTACACTGGTAACAGTGACAAGAACTTTATATTCTGTACACTAATTACACCGAATAGAACCCGTATGTTCTGTACACTGGTAACAGTCACAAGAACGTTATGTTCTGTACACTAATTACACTGACAATAACCTATATGTTCTGTACACTGGTAACAGTCACAATAACGTTATGTTCTGTACACTAATTAAACCGACAAGAACCCGTATGTTCTGTACAATGGTAACAGTGACAAGAACTTTATGTTCTGTACACTAATTAGACTGACAAGAACCCGTATGATCTGTACACTGGTAACAGTGACAAGAACCCGTATGTTCTGTACACTGGTAACAGTGACAAGAACTTTATATTCTGTACACTAATTACACCGAATAGAACCCGTATGTTCTGTACACTGGTAACAGTCACAAGAACGTTATGTTCTGTACACTAATTACACTGACAAGAACCTATATGTTCTGTACACTGAAAACAGTCACAATAACGTTATGTTCTGTACACTAATTAAACCGACAAGAACCCGTATGTTCTGTACAATGGTAACAGTGACAAGAACTTTATGTTATGTACACTAATTACACTAACAAGAACCTATATGATCTGTACACTGGTAACAGTGACAAGAACATTATGTTCTGTACACTTATTACACTGACAAGAACCCGTATGGTCTGTACACTGGTAACAGTGACAAGAACTTTATGTTCTGTAGACTGATTACACCGACAAGAACCCGTATGTTCTGTACACTGGTAACAGTGACAAGAACTTTATGTTCTGTACATTAATTACACCGACAAGAACCCGTATGTTCTGTACACTGGTTACAATGATAAGGACCCGTATGTTCTGTACAAAGTAAGCAAACGTCTAGAGCTACAAGGCCCCTTAGGTCCTTTCCATGGTCCCCAACACTGATTATAGAGACAATGACACGACTTGATAACTTTTTTTAAAATACTGAAATGCGGGTTCTTGTTATTGAAATTCTATAGCATTCCAGATGACTTGACAAAGACAGAAATATCAAGCGAGATATGATTAGTGATTTTATTCAAAACGAGTGTGTCACCAGTTATTAGGGTTTTGTTAGGATGACAATATGAAGTAGCAGATTGGTATTTGTTATACTAAATCGATATCTACGGCGTAAAAGTCTGCGACTTATAATACTGATGTGTAGTATATGACTCTAAGCATATGGAACAAGAACCAACATCACGGCAGGATTCTATAAAGAAGATAAGAATAAGCGCCAATAGAACGGTGCATAGCTCAAGGGAATAGACTGCGTGCAAATATATCTAGATATGACAGCCCTAGACCAGGAAATATACCAAAGCTGACATCGCTTAAAGAAATTAGGAAACGCTAGGACTTTCGTATGGATAATTCCTAGCCACAATCAATAGGTTCGTTCCATGGGAGAGCTCCTTACAACCCATATCCACGGTCTGTCCTGGAGCAAAACGTCAACCACAAAGCTATGTAGTTTTATCAAGTTGTCTAATTGCCACATGGCTCTGTACTTTTATAACATTCAGCTCGATATAATTATCACACTTAAGCAAAGACTGTGCCATGCTTTCATCGTCTGTTCCAGTTGATCTCTAGTATAGCTTGTACGTGCCCTTGTTGTTGAGTGACGCTTATTACCCTGACGAAACTCTTGTATATGTCACTGTTCAGTGGTCCCTGTCATATTTTTAACTCTAAAGTGTCATGTGTACACCCTGTTATAGTATCAACTTCAGAATGTCATGTGTGCTACCGTTTAGTGTCTCGTTTTCACTTGTTAACGTCCAGTGTCATGTGTCTGCTATTATTTAGTGGTTCATGTTATAGTATAAAACTACGGAATGCCGTGTGTACAACTATATAGTGTCATTTTGTTCACTTGTTAAATTCTAGAGTGTCCAGTGTCTGCTATTATTTTTCGGTTAATGTAATATTATAAAAAAAAAAAGAATATCATGTGTGTAACTTTTGAGTGGCGTTTGTTTCAGTATAAAACTATAATGTGTCTGGTATTACAATGTAGCCACAGTTTCGTGACCACCGTTCAAGTTTAAATAATAAAATAATTTCTGCCTGTCGTTGATTGCCTAAAAACTTGTATTGAGCTTCTATACGATGAGAAAAATATAGTAATGATTTCTGCCGACAAAACTCGACAACAGAAATCAAAATAATCGTGATGGAGGGAGTACACAGTTCCGTCTGCATTCGCAATATCGTTACAGAAAGTGCACATGTTATAAAAAGTTACATAACTAAATAGCGTTATTTCTAAAATCGTTAAAAGTAATTTATTCCCTAGAAAGTGTAAATTGGAGGTGAGCAGAACGTTGGCCTGTACTAGTGTAAATTGGAGGTGAGCAGAACGTTGGCCTGTACTTTCAGTGCGACGTTCACATCACGACAATATGTCATGTTTTCTCTCTAAAATTCGGGCATGTTTATTCCGTTAAAAAATAACATCAGAACTAAACGATATTTGGACTGTTACAATGATACTGGTGTAGAAATGCACATCACCATCAAAACCACGGAGGTGTTTGAATTTCAGTCAGAGTAGCAAAAAACAAAACTCGACGCGATTCCTAGTCATAATACTAATCGATCATAATGTTAATAAAACGTCCATAAAAATGTCTTTAAGTGTTATCAATCCATTCTAACAAAATATGGACGAGTATTTAGCACATGCATGCTAATTACAATAATACAAGTATGATGGGGAAAGTACAAGTTTTAGGAAGCTGTGAATCGACTTATTTAAATGGACTTGTTGGATTATTAGAGGTAATTTGATAGACATTTTTAAAATATTGTGAAATGGAATATATCTACCAGAATCCTATCCTCACATGAAAAACGGGATTGGCCTTGTTAGTTACAATACAGCATAGAGACGTTACCTTAATTTTTGAATGTCATCCAAAGAAAACGTGCATAAAGCACCTATCCTGTGGAAGTCACGTAGCTTTGTAGCGTTTTAATATCTTTTTAACTACTTGTACACCACAGAAACGCATCTCATATTATCAAAATGAATTTGCATTCAGGTAATCTATTTATAATTTTCCTAAGACACAATTTGTGGTAAGTTTTAACTAGTAATACCCTTATTTATGCTGCATTTTCTCACACTAATGAAAAGTGTATATACACTCACAATTATGTACTAACTCAACCAAACCTCACGGGGAGTGTGTAGACGTCTGATCCCCTGATAATGGTAGTGAGGAGACGTCTGTGTATTATTACGGCTGGTGTATGTTATTGTAGTAGGTCGGTCCACCTGCCCCTCCGCCGGGAGGGAGAAGCAAAGACAGGCCGGTCTTCCATTACAAAGGTAAACAGCCCACAGAACGAGCGGGGTAGAAAACCGCTTTGGTAGATAAACATACTTTTATATAAATATCTTATGAAAATATCTTCGCTAGGAACTATAGTGACTGACATACGGTGTATTGTAGGTGGTACCGTGTTTCATTATTTGTACATATAACGGTTCGAATCGGTATAAAGGAATGTGGCAATGAGATTATAATATACAGGACGAAATATCTACAAAACTCCGTAAATGAACATGTAGGTTGAGTAAAGGGTTACTTCACACGCTGTCAATATGGAATAGCTTGGATACGTCCAAATCAACAATGTATTATCCTCGTGCAAGCAATAAAAATAAATATCTTTTAGTACAATCGTATCAATGGTTTTTAATGAAGAATGTGGATGTCGTCAGAAATATATAAAGTAAGCACGCATGCATACATACCTGAGGAAAACGATAACACCAAGTTTCGACAAGTCATCTTTAATGATGTCCCAGGTGTCCTGCACCAGATGTATTTGGCGCGGTGTCAAATAGGTGTTTAGCTGGGTGTCCCCTGTAGCCGCAGACGGACAGTTCAATGCTTGGTTGCCCATTACGTAAGGTGTCTTATCACGGTGTCCTCAATTACAGTAAGTACAATATAACAATAGAAAAACTATACCGCATTACTTAGGTTCAGCATCGTAATAATCCATGTCCAAAAGTATGCACACGAAGGTCGCCGAGTTCAGGTGAAGCTAGAATCAATTTCTGACCAAAGTTTTGTCCACTATACGGAAGTCATATGTATGAACAGCGTGTCCACCGCAGGAAGCATCTAGTTTATATACACAGCACTCTATAGTTTATATTCGTATTCCCATAAAATAGTTATGTCAATTCCATTGACCTTGTGTAAATATGAAGACGTCAGGAAAAGCACGTGTAAACTGCTGTCATAGTGCACGTGTAGTGTAACCGCTGCCGAGTGAGAGATGTCGATTGCGCAGGAATAAAATCTGTTTCAGCAATCAGAGGCTGACACAAGAAGATAGGAACTGATGCATCGAACTTGAGATAGAGAGGTGTCATCGAGTCAATCGCTCAGCTTGCACAGTTAGACGATGTGTTAAAAGTCGAAGGCCTAACAACACTAAACACCGACATAGTGTTGGATCGTTGTAAATAAATACGCACGTGGTCGCTTAAATTCCGGTCGATAATAAAAACAAATAACGATGAATACATCAGCACGAGCCAATGGAGGTGAGTGGGCGTGGCCAAGTGACAGCTACACTAGTGAAGAGAAATTTAATAAGCGAGCACTCCGATATTCCGTCACAGGGATCCGGATGGTGCCGTTAACTCGCTATATATATGTCTTACATCACAAGTAATACACCGAGGCAGAGCACATGCAGAGCGACACACTGAGAACAAACTTATGCAAACATAAAAATGATAATTTGATTATGTCAGAAGTGCGTTCACAAGCGATATTAATTATACATAGATACGTTTAAATGTAATTCATTTCGTAACCAATGGTTTATTTCTTACCTGTCTAATTTATTTAAATGACAACACGTTTTTTCATTTTAATACGGGTTTTTTTCCATTCATCATACAGTATTTCTAGGTTTCTTTATGGTTATTTCGTTTCATAGTCCTCATAACTCAATTAAACTTTTTTAACCTAGATAAATCTCCATTGCACACAGTTCATCATCTCACGCAGCTCAACATGATACACTCTTTTCAAATCAATCACCAAGCTTCCCATACCAAACAACATTCACCGCTTCATACACTGCATCCTATCACACTCACACCGATTCCCATACCAAACAACATTCACTGCTTCACAAACTGCACCACATCACACTCACACAGATTACCATACCAAACAACACCCATCGCTCCACACACTGCACCATATCACACTCACAGCGATTACCATACCAAACAACATTCACCTCTTCACAGACTGCACCACATCACACTCACACCGATTACCATACCAAACAACATTCACCGCTTCACACACTGCACCATATCCCACTCACACTGATTACCATACCAAACAACATTCACCGCTTCACACACTGCACCATAGCACACTCACACCGATTACCATACCAAAAAACATTCACAGCTTCACACACTGCACCACATCACACTCACACCGATTCCCATACCAAACAACATTCACAGCTTCACACACTGCACCATATCACACTTTCACTGATTACCATACCAAACAACATTCATCGCTTCACACACTGCACCATATCACACTCACACTGATTACCATACCAAACAACATTCATCGATTCACACACTGCACCATAGCACACTCACACCAATTACCATACCAAACAACATTCACCTCTTCACACACTGCACCATATCACACTCACACCGATTACCATACCAAACAACATTCACCTCTTCACACATTGCACCATATCACACTCACACCGATTACCATACCAAACAACATTCACAGCTTCACACACTGCACCATATCACACTCTCACTGATTACCATACCAAAAAACATTCATCGCTTCACACACTGCACCATATCACACTCACACTGATTACCATACCAAACAACATTCACCTGTTCACACATTGCACCATATCACACTCACACCGATTACCGTACAAAACAACATTCACCCCTTCACACATTGCACCATTTCACACTATCACCGATTACCATACCAAACAACATTCACAGCTTCACACACTGCACCATATCACACTCACACCTATTACAATACCAAACAACATTCACCGCTTCACACACTGCACCATATCACACTCACACAGATTACCATACCAAACAACATTCACCTGTTCACACACTGCACCATATCACACTCACACCGATAACCATACCAAACAACATTCGCAGCTTCACACACTGCACCATATCACACTCACCCCTATTTCCATACCAAACAACATTCACCGCTTCACACACTGCACCATATCACACCCACGCCGATAACCATACCAAACAACATTCACCGCTTCACACACTGCACCATATCACACTCACGCCGATAACAATACCAAACAACATTCACCTCTTCACACATTGCACCATATCACACTCACACCGATTATTATACCAAACAACATTCATCGCTTTACACACTGCACCATATCACACTCACACCGATTATTATACCAAACAACATCCATCGCTTCACAAAGTTCAATTCACCATATCACACTCACACCGATTATTATACCAAACAACATTCATCGCTTCACAAAGTTCACCATTTAACATTCACAATGTTTACTATCTTACACTTACACAATTAACCATGACCCACTCACATTTCACATTCTCACACAAAGAGTTCACTATCTAACTCTCACACAGTTCATCCGTTTATTGTGTTTTTCGACATCATTAAAATCACATTTTAAGAGAACCAGACTTTGGTTGTATGAAAATGAACAATAATTAAGTAAGAAGTCGATAGGCCGGGCATTCTCTTTGAATGGTCAAAGGTTTGTGTTTGTGTCGGTCCTCTTGGAAAAGTCCGGGATCCATGACCGCCGGACAGCCAGTCTCTATTACTGACGTATAACAGTAACTATACAGACAACTGCAGGCCTCTTCCAGGCTATATGAATATTTACAAAACGACTGCTGGTCCAACAAAAGACGATGATTTTAGCCCATATGGACCTCTTCATATATGGAGGAGAGTCATGTTTCCACTGTGTCCACGCGCCATTGCGTGTGAGCACCGCTGCTAGGCAACGCAGACAGATAATATACCGTACACACCAGGACCAGAGCATGAAGGAAGTAGTGTCGTGGTCTTCTGGAGCCTTGCAAAATTGGTTCAGTATGCATTTAATTCTCAGCAAGAGAAACCAAATATGCATATATATTGCCAAAGCTGCACCTACGTATTTAAAAGATTGATATGATTTCCATTAAAGGATTGACCCGGTATGGCGGTCTGCCAGATTAAGGACATGACCCGTGCTATAAAAACATGCATGCTTTCAACTTGTTTACTAATCAATTTCACTGATAAAATATCACACAATCAAAAACTGTGATAACTAATAAACATCATCAAACATTAAACCTTTTATTTTGATATCGCATTTAAAGTGAAAGTACTTGGGACATTTGGTAGGTTAAATAAAATTGATTTCGATACAAAAACAAGGATCTGTTGACGATTATGCCATGACGCATTTTACGAATCAGGGAGTGTTTGAGACTAATGTTTGCTCGACTTACCATTCTACAATACTGAAATTGACGTATTGGGAAAGTATTTAGCAATATTATCCTTGCTTCCAGCCAATTTAAGCCATTGCAATACACTGCGGTTCTGTTTTTTATTCTGGATTGTATTCCGCCAATATACTTGTTGTTATGAACAATCACATTTCTCAATTATCCTTCAGAGAGGCCTACGAATACTGAATTGAATTACAAGGTTTTGATAAGAAACCCTTTTTGTTTGTAATTCAGTTTATTCAATGTAGTGGGCTTAATTTTAACATCATTTTCAAGTAAAATTGTAAGCTTCAAAAGGTAAGAAGAAAAAAAAAACACCATAAAACCACATTGCAACTGTTGGCCGCTGATAAGATGACGTGGTGGACAATGACAGATCCAATAAGAAACTCTTCCACGCTGTACTTTTTATAAACTGAAAGTTTAGCGTTGGATGCGGAGTAATATGTTTTAAAACAATTCGTGACAACAAAACCATAATCTGAACTAAAGATCGATAAATCTTAGGCAAACAAATGAGAGATTTACATTGAAACCCTAGATGAATATCAGGAGAATAAAATTAGGTTAGGGATAAGCGATAGGCGTCTTTTGCTTCATAGACGACACCCGCTATGTTTATCTAGGCTAAATCCAAGTAATGTCACGTCCTTATTTGGAAAACCGGGAAAGCATCAACAAGGCACACTAATGAGGATAACTAAAAAACATGTAACTTCATATCACACAAAGAGATAGCATATTTTTAAATGAGATCATGTTGGCGATCATTAAATTTCTCCGTAGTCTTAATCAACCTGCGTATTTGGAAACTTTTGTAAGTTTGTCCGTCTGAAGTTAAAATCTATCACGGAAGCCATGATGTTCGAAGCAAGGTTTTAATACCGAAGCAGGGATGTCACTATTAAGAAACTGAAACTTCACGATCGGAAAATCCAAGTCGTCCCGTTTAGCGTAGAGCATGTTTCTGTTAATAATGTTGTATATAAAAATCGAGAAAAGCAATGCAAGAGTATACATGAAGGCACCTATTATACTAAAATAGGTTTTACCTAAGGTTGTTAAGTTATTTTGTACAATCCAAAACCAATGCCGTACATTGACATCATTTATTCTAGATTCTTGCTCCATGTGTTGTTTGGGAATCGAAGTAAGTGTATCTTGTACATATCATTATTAGGGAATAAACAAGTAAAGAAACCATGTCCCTTGTTATATTTGGGCCAGTTGTCTCAGAATGCATATCACATTTGCGCTGCAGTCAAAAACAGTATGCTGAGTATCACCATTACAAAACATGGCATGACTCAATTATTTTTTTCCCATTCTATAAATGAAAACTGCCATTTCAAATGTAAAAACCATAGCCGATGCATACGATGTTTTTTTTTTTTTTTTTGTAATTTAATAGCGTACACACTTACTGATCTTTTCTGTTAAATAATATATACCTACCTGTTATATTATTGCGAACACACCTATCGATTTGTTCATTTCATCACGAAACGTGATAAGTTTGATTAAATGTATACATTTGCAGTGCTGACATCGTGTGATTCTACGTCAGTTTGTTTCCATAACTGTACATTGTACCATCAGTGTGTATCAGTGATAGTCTGACTGGCGTCTGATTAAATGCTGACAAAAGCTGTTTGTATTCATCATAATGCGATAGATTTGGTTCATATTGGCAAGCATTTGTATTCTCTTCTAGAATTTCTGAGACGGAACCGCATGCATTTCCTATTGTGTGTTCCTTTCTTAACAACAGTTTGAGTGTGCAGAATTTATCCTAAACTTTATGGAAGACAAAATACGGGGGACAAGAGACTAGTAATACTGTTCATGATTATCTACAGCCGGGAACCTATCTCTCCTGACGACTCTATATTAACAACAGGCCTTAACGGATATTCGACTCAAAAACTTTAAAATTATCTCCTTACTCAGACAAATTGAAAACGACTATATTTGTGCACTCATTTGATACAGAGATTCACTAAGTGAGAGTGAAACACATACCACAACATCAGCACTTATTACGCAATCAAA